AATTAACGGGTTGCATAGCATTTTGCGTAGTGCGTAGTTTCGTTTTTTTAAAAGCCCTTAAAGGTGTTTTTATTTTTCATTAAGTGTTTTTAAAAACTGCTTAATTTTCCCTTTTCAAAAATGAGATATTTTTTCGTTACCATGTTGATTTTCATCACAAATTATGCAAAAAGCATGGTTTTCACATTGTTCTATTCAACGTTTTCACAAATCATTTTGATGTACCGTCGGTTCACAGCATATGAAGTGCCAATCATTCGACATGTTTGAAATACTTGTGGGTTTGCATGTGCAAATATTGAGCTGGATTCAGAGCGAAGAATTGTTACATTCTCTTGTGCAGCACTGCTGCTTTTTGCAAGGGATTCACAATTTCAGACTTCATTTTCCACCTTCTGAAATCGAACCGAAAAATATCTTGAATTTTCGTTGATTACTGGGACCAGCTAAACATTGCCAAATTTCTTTCCCTAGTAGCAAAAGAAAATTTTATTTCTCTGGTTAATGTTATCGTTAGTGAAGCGCCATTGTCTTTGTCACTGGCAAGCTAATGACTTTCTCCCGCTCTTCTGTTTACAGATCAGTACTAATCCTTCAACTTGACTTGGGGATCATTCACTAATGACGTATTTTCACGTAGGTCCTCAGGGCAGTAAACAATCCCAACGCTTCATCACTTTAAAATTTCCAACTCTCTTTTATTCATTAAATTTAATAAAGATAATAATTAATTGAGATTTTTAAATTTTATCAGAGGGACCATCCACTAATTGCAAAATGTTTTAAAAACTTTTATTGCACTTTATTACTTTTTTTTTACTAATTACCTTTTATTATTCTATTATTTCGTAATTTTTTTTATGAAAAAACTCAATAATAATTAGAGGCAAGATTTTAAATTAAGTATGAAGCGAGGATCCTTCACTATTTTAAATGCAGCAAAAAATCTTATATTATCAAGATTTTTCATTCAAAAAAACTTTATTTTATCTCTTAATGATTTGATTTAAAAACAATTGAAATGAATAATACAATTATCTGAGATTTGTAAAATATATGAGTGTAGGGACCATATAATGATTTACTTCTGACAAAAATGTTTAGCTTCAACTCATTGTATTTACATTTCGAAATTATTTGCATTTTTTTAATCATTTCATCAAAGAAATACTGAACCAAGTAAAACATTTTAATAAAAATTAATTAGGGACTATTCGCTAACTTACATTTGTAATATGAATTTATGAAAGTATTCTTAGTTTGCTTAACTTTTAACATATCTTTATAAATTCGGTACGATCAGTAATATTAATCTTGTTAATGTTTCGTAGAATATGCTTTTATGAATAAATTTGTTTAAATCTAAAAAATATACTCGATAATCTTATAATTAAATTAAATTATATTAAATTATAATTTCGAATACATTTTTTTTGCATATTTAAATAAAGAAATTATTAATTTAAGAAATAGAAGGAGAAACTCAATATTGAACATATTTAAAATTCTTTATAAATTGTTTTTATAGTGGCTAATATAGTCAAGAAAAAAAAGTTCTTTTTCAGAAACTAGTTATTTTATCATAATTATGTAAAGCCTTTGAAATTTTGCATTTTGTTAATGCATATATAAAGAACTTTAATTAACAGGAAGAAACAAAATTTATTATATGCATATCCTATTTATAATATTATTTTAAAGTGCTTAAAAATATTTTCTAAGTGCTTCAAAAGTGCATGTTTTTGTTGAAAAATTTGGCAACTCACTCTGATTATACAAATGCTTGGTAAAAATAGAAGGACAAGTGAATGTGAAGTAAGTTAAAATCAATGAAAATGGTTCATTCAATGAAAATGATTTGTTCAATTCAAAGAAGTCTTTCTTTTACAACTATTAAATCGAAGCCTAAGAGAAATAAGTAATAACAGTGAGCAAAGAATTTATTTGTTTCTTTTGGACAAACCATTCATATTTTATCACAATATTTTCTTTAAATTTATGTTAAATAATTTCTTTACGTTCTTACAAATCTTCATTTACTAGACAGGAAATAACTTAAACATACCTTTTATTCCCTTTATTCTATTTTAGACGGGAAAAGGTATTTTTAGAAATATCTTACTTAAAGGATAAAGGAAAAGTAATCCAATTATAGTAAACACGCCTAATTTTGAATTCAATTATTTTATTCTTGAAATTTTCCAATTTATATTTAATTTATTATAGATGTTATGACTATTTCTTTCATATATAATGTTTAAAAAGAAAATATTAAACTATTTGACGCATTTAAAATATCTGAAAGATTTACCTCAAATGAATTATTCTCGCACAGTTGAAGTAATAAATTAAGAGTAAATTTTTAAATTAATTTATTTCGAAATGTCAAAAGTTTATTAATAGATATTTTGTTAAAATCCGTTAACTATCTCCATTTCTGAACAATTGTCTATTTTTTGAGAGTGTTTCATTTCAGTTGATGTAATTTTAAAAGCTTATGCATTAATTATTTATTATGCATTAATTTATGAACAATTATTTTGTTGTAATCCTGTAATAATTTGTATGCATTTTATGTTCTGAAATAAAAATGTTCAGGATTTGAAACGTCATAGTTTTCTCTCCCCTTAGTTTAACTGAATTCACTTTTCTCTACACTTTATATTTCGAAATGCGCCAACACGCCTGTGTGGGGGTCAGGGAACTGGCCTTTCATCAGAAAGGTTCCGGGTTCGAATCCCGGGCAAGGCATGGATGTTCTTTCATTCTCTGTACTATCTGTCCTTACTGTGGAAGCAACGTTGGGCCACCTATTATGGTGCCAATGAAAAGTTCAATAAGAGCGGATAAATTCCTTACCTCAAGCGTGAACCTATTTTGAATATTTAAATGGTTCGTCATTTACTTCTGTCAGTTTGGCGAATTTTATTATAAGCGAAGAATACTTTGTGTTGAAAATGCAAATATCTGCGCAAACTTTTCATCTCATTTGGCTTCGGAAGATCTTATTTTTTAAACATCTATGTACGCATTTTTCGGATAGACAGGAACAAAACAACTGTGACGTCACGAGGGAAAGTTATGTCATAGCTAGCATAACTGAGTGTCAACGTATGGATTTTCTTCAGATATAAACGTAATTTTTATATATACTAATCGAACAACGTAATGTCATAATGGGTAGTAATAATGATACGTAATGCATAATACCTAATAATAATGATATCGAACAATTGAATGTCGAAGAAATTCATTGAGATTATTTTAAATTGATCCAAAAGTTTTGTTTTATTGAATATTTTTGAAGTTTTAACAAAAGAATGTAAGACAAAAAACGTTTTTCATAAAAATTTCTATATATCCATAAATATTTAAGCTACGTTTACGACATTTTTTGCATATAATAGCCAAAGTAACAGTTGTATGTTACAAAGTTATAACTACATTTTTTGGCATAGGGTGTTTAAAAAGATATTTTTCCGTTAGTAATTTATTGTTGGCCCCTCAAACCTCAAAAAGTTTCAAACTTCAATGATATGTATGAAAAAGCGTATGATCTAAACATTTAATAATTTACAAACTGATTTTCTGAGTAGTTTTTGAGAAATATCAAAAAACAAACATGAGAAATCAGCCCCTGCNTATATATATATATATAGGGCACTCATATATATGAATCAAAAGGAATATACTCAAAAGGTGATAATTATAGAACAAATTGTAAAGGTATAAATTTAAATGTGGCAATTAATCACTGTCAACCTGTCACCATTTCTAGAAGATAATGAAAAGTTCAAATGACCAGAAGCTTACGTTGAAAGTGAACATGTTAGATGACATTCCCCCCTTCCCCCAGTGAACGACGATTTCATAATTTTTGAAACCAAATGTGGGGCCACAAAAGTAAGAAGAGGAAAGAAGAGAAAGAATGCCATGAATATTTAGGATTTCTTTTTCATTTTTTGCCTTGGTGCATTGGCTATTCTTCAAGGGGTACATTTTATAAAATCGATTATAAAGCCTTAATAAACTTATTTCAGCTAAACAATGAATTAATATGAAATTTTGGACAGTGGTATGGTCACCCCACTGGCTTTAATGAGGTTCTACGGCTGTTCATCAATAACGTCAAATTTTCTTTAAATACTTTTACCACCCACTTTGCCTCATGTTGCTCCATATTGCATAAATATGTACTTACAATACAGTAGAAAAGAACTTCTTATAGATCTTAATTTAAGTTTTATTTAACTGTAAGATTTAATCGCATTTGTGAACTAAATGATTCTAAGATCGAATCAGAAGAAGATTACAACATTTTAATCTTTTAAAAATACATGATTATAATATATAAAATAGATAACATTGATACTTTTAAATAACTGGTTTCATAAAATTCATTAGGCACTTAAACAATTTGAATTTTATATTTCTTTACAAAAAAAAAGGGAAAGAAAATTATTTAAAGGGGAATTAATTATCGATGTCCCTATCTCTAGCAAATGATGTTCCTACCAGCAACTCTTTCCTGATATCGAGTTCATTTTCCCTTTGTTTGCTTTCTGAATGTTCTTAATCCGTTAGCATTACGGAATCGTCCTGCCCCTAGACGTTTGTTTACAGTTGTTATTAAGGAATTGTTACCTTTTACGGGAAATATGACCAAACGAAATCACTTAGAAAAAAAGAACAACTTGAAAACATTTCTGATTTTGCCAATTATGAAACTAACTATTTGACCAATTTAGATGCTATTTAATCTTTAACAAATGGACAGGAAAATATTTTCAATGAAAATATACCAACTACATGTTTGATCTGAAAATTTGTTGGCTTATTTTTTTTTTCTAATAGTATTTCCCGTTATCATTCGTATAATAAAGTAAAACAATTAAATCATAACTTTTAATGTTACTCACTTGATTTTTACTTCTTCTCTTCATTTATTCAATCATTATATTTCTTTAAATAGCAATTATTATTATTTTTTTCATTTTCAGAATTTGGCGCTTGGATGAAGATTATAAAGGAGATTGAAGAAAGAAAAATGATTGAGTGAGAGATATTGAATGCCTCAGATTTAGACTATGTATAAAACTAGTGAAATAAAACCAGTTGAATGCAATAGTTAAATGGGAGAAGGTCAACCAGTTATATAAACTAAATTGCATTCCTACTCCATATATTGTTAAAACATTAAAACTAATTACACAGAAATGGATAACCTCGGTAGAGAAATATATCTAAATCCCTCAATATTTAATTTCTACGCGTCGTTGTTACTGTCCATTGCTTCTACTGAATTAATAAATTCCGACACTTGAAAGCAGAATAAATCCTGATGAAGGCTTAAAACTATCTTGAGATGTCAACTGAAGCCATGATGAATAATTCTGAAGATCATTGGGGAGGACTTCATGTGTTTAATTCTGATACTTCAGAAAGCCAATCTCTGGAAGAAGAAAGTAAAAGAGGATTGGAATATCACGTTGGAACCCGAAAAAGCCTTTTAAGCGCCATGATATTATTTTCACTTTTTGGGAATTTCTTAGTCTTCTGTTCCTTCTATCCCTATCGTAAAAAAGGAATACCTAAAGCTAAGGTACTGTTTTTGTACCTTGCGATTGCGGATTGTTTCGTAGCTTTCTTCACATTGGGTGCTCAGCTATTGTGGGAACAGGACAAAAGAAAGTATTTTATAGATACTGTCAGTTGCAAGTGCATGAAATTCATGCAAACGTATTCACTAGCGTTGTCCGGATACATGCTAGTTACCATAGCACTAGATCGTTACAATGCAATTATTAATGCTCTCACCAGAAAAAACGACATGAAATGGTGGATCATATTCCCATGGGTCATCTCTATTGTGCCAGCAGTTCCATGTCCCTTTCTTTTCCATACTCCTGATGGAATGTGTGTATCCCTGTTTTATTCAGAGAAAAACAACATTGCCGCAGAAACTTTGCAATTTTGGAGACGTGTCTACATTACAGTTGTAGTCGTCATCGTGTTTGGATTTCCGACTGTATTGCTACTTTTTGGATACATCGGTATTTATTATAAAATAAGTAAGCAGTCGGAAGTGTTTTCAGCTTCAGAACAAAGCTCGTCGTCTTTACCAAGAGCTAAAAAGAAAACTTTCACGTTGGCGATGGTAGTGACATCTGTGTTTCTTTTTACAAGTATACCTTATATTGCTCAAGAGTTTTACCTCGCTTTTGGAGATCCAGCTACAATAAATGCCAATGCATACCTTATTGCTACAAGTGGAGTAATATCGGCTTTTAACAGTGTTTTAAACCCATACATATACCTACTCTTCCAGTATACTAATTGTTGTATCGGCAAGCCTGTGAGATCGATTGCTAGTCTAATACGTTCCAGAAATTGGGGCTTTCGTAAGCCTTTGTCTGCTTATCGAAAAAATACGTCGGTTTTGTCAGTGTCGTCAAAAACATCTAGAATTGAAGTGAATAATGACTTGATATCAAGGAAAATTGAAACTGCTTTGATTTGTAATGATATACAAAAAGATAATGAAACTTGTGTGTGAAGGAACTCATTCACATGAATAAGAACACTAACTGAAATAGATATTTGGATTTATAGTAAATTATGTAAATAAGAGTAGAATTCTGCGACAAGGGTTTTATAATTATTATTATTTAACAAATTTTAAGACGAATTATTTTAAATCAAATTTTTTGCTGCATTTATAAAAATATTTGATCTTGTCTAATTCGGTTGTGGGGATTTCAAATCTGAGATTAGTTTTTCTCCTGAATCTGCAGATGTTTTTTAAAATTAACAATTTTAGTATACTTTTTATGGAAATGAACAGGTTTAGAAACGTAATATATATAAAGGGGGCAACGTAACTGTCTTGGCAAACATCTAGGAGATTTAGAGCACATCCGGATAAAAATTGCGTAGGAACTCATGCCCGAAGATGTCGTCGTACACGACTATTGGCACTTTCCTATTATAGCTTGTTTACAAGAACACGAAGAAAAATCATTAATAGGGAAGTGCTCCAAGCGGCGTATGGTTACACTTCCTTGCATGGGTTCCTGTGCAATTTTAATCCTGATGATGTGCTCTAACTCCTATAGAAGTTTGTCGCATCATTTACGTGACTCTTTTTTATATATAACGTTTACAAATTTGTGCATTACGATAATAAATAAACTAAAAATGCAATTAAAAATTTTTTTAGCTTGGAGAGAAAAGAAGATTGCAAATTTGAAACCAGTGATACGAAAGTATCTAATATTTTTCTCCCTGTGTAATTAATCAAGATGTTTTAAATGCTTCTCAAATACTATTGCTAATCTTTTGTTTATTAATTATATCAACCTAACATCCAAGTTATTCGTACAAAGGTGTTGTAGGGAGATTTTCCTTTTTTTCCTTAAGAGTTACCGATTTGAAATGCATTGAATACCTGAAACATCTATTCCTTACATGCTGAAATTAAATGTTTTTGTTACCGTCTAAAAATATTTTAAAACATGCATAACAGACTGAAGTTTGCACTCGCACATTTTTATATGAGTATATTTATTTCTTAAATAACAATTTTATAATTAATATTTTAGTAACAAAACTATTGCTTTACATACTCTCTGTGAAACAAACTTTTAAGCATTACCAATAACTTTTAAGACAGCCCGCTGACATATTTTTTAAATGGTTTTGCCACACGGCGTATTTTTATCGTCAAATTTGGAGACTTTTTCAAATTCAAGATAAAATCGACTTGCTAATTATCACTTAATTTGAATTTTACATTTTTACTACATACTTGTCAAATATTAATCAGCATTCACTACTTACATTTATTCAGGCTCATTGCAAGCTGAATTTCACATTAATTTTTCGTGATAAGTGTAAAATACGTTCTTAAGAAATTTGAGAGTCTAAGCTACAATTACTTAATATCGGCTTTTAACAGTGTTTTAAACCCATACATATACCTACTCTTCCAGTATACTAATTGTTGTATCGGCAAGCCTGTGAGATCGATTGCTAGTCTAATACGTTCCAGAAATTGGGGCTTTCGTAAGCCTTTGTCTGCTTATCGAAAAAATACGTCGGTTTTGTCAGTGTCGTCAAAAACATCTAGAATTGAAGTGAATAATGACTTGATATCAAGGAAAATTGAAACTGCTTTGATTTGTAATGATATACAAAAAGATAATGANCATGCTTTAGAGCGATGGAAAAGAAACTCCTCACTTTAACGCCACACAACAACTACCCTTCTAAGCAAATCGACTTTTTTTTGCACTCTACACATCGACAACAGTGCCACCTCACCGCTCCCATATCCAATTTGCGCATGCCCGCCCTTCTGTGAGTTTCAAAGTTAAGTTGCCACTATTTAATTTACAACCCTCGTATATACGATGCATAAAAATTATCATTCGATAATTGTCTACGAAACATTTGTGGAAGGGGAAAAAAGGTCAAAAAAAATTATAATCGCAGAAATAATTATCGACTATTATTTCTTTTATATTTGATAAAATTAGCAATTGTGATAAGAAAGCAATGTGATAAAATTGGGATAAAATTTTCCTTTGTTTTCAAATGCATAAATATTTTTACTGTATCTTTAATAGAATGCGAATAAATAAAAATGCGAACTGGACAAATAAATGAAGCGGAAATATGATTAAGGGCTTCAACAAAAATGTCCGAAATTAACACATGCCAAACAGTGAATCAAGCTGGGTTTCTATTTATTTTCGCAATTTTTTTGAAATCTTATCAGAGTGTAAATTCAGAGGATTTTGGATCTATATAATTTTCTTAGCTAAACTTTTCATTAACTACTGCTATTCCTATCAATAGAATCTGTAATTATATCCCTCCTTTTTTAAACAGGAATATAATCAATATTAATGCGAATTATTCTATATTTGCGTAACATATCGTATTGTAAATGTATTTTTAAATGTTATCGTACTATACAGAATTAAAAAAACTTTATTTGTTCTTGTAAATGTTTCTTTTTTTTATTAGAAATAACGTTGTTCAATTTTGCGAAGAGTTTTTCTATGTTCTCAATAAAATATTCAAACGTTTTTATCTCATAGAAATAGATTTCTGCTCCAACTGGTTGTAAACTATTGTAGATGTAACTTAATATTAAAATAATTCTAAGTTCTAGAGACACACAGCCGTTTCGATAGTGTTATCAGTGTCAAGGCAAAGCCGAGCCACTAAGTGTATCGATATTGGACATGGCATTTTCTTAATATACCTAAACGGTCGTTAATCTCTTAATTTTTTTCTGTTTGCGCTTTTTACATTGTTTCCATATTATTTAATTTAAATTTGGTTGCAAATGTAATCTTTCTGAAACCCTTTTATGAACCTATAATGGTACAGTAAAAAGAGATCTTTAAAATAGACCCCAAAACCATTCCCATTAAATATCCTGTAATAAATTGATTAAAGCAATAATTAAAATCTAAATAGGTACTATAGATAACGGTTTTATTACCCATATGTATGGCTAAAATGATTAAAGTTACGTTAAATATGTATTTCTTATTAAACCATCTATTACATATTGTTGAATCTGTTTTTTACACAAATCTTATAATCATTAGCTTGATTTTTAACTGAAAACTTAATGTTTTTCATGCCATTGTACATTAAACCATATGAAATGTTTCTCAATGTTAAACAATGAATGTTTAATACTTAATGTTTAATATGAAACGTCAATGAATTGTTTTATCAATGGTTGAAAATTTCTACGCTTTAGGAAATAAATATAAATGTTTCGGTATTTTTTTAAATGTTTCTGTCCAAGGCAAATGTTGAAAAAAATGATATATATTTTGAGGTGAACATTTGTGATGTGCTTCTGAACATTCGATGAAATAACTGAATTCTCAAACTTTTCATAGATTTTCCGAAAGTACAATAATGGTTTTAAAAAAATTTCTTGTGCCAAAATGCTTACATATTTTTTAAATCTCATTTTGTCACCATTTCATGCTAAATTTCATTCCATATGTCATTTTGTTTCTGTTGCGTGTGGAAATCAGGAAAACTCATTACGGAAATTTCAAACTTCTCATCCATGTTCACTATAGAAAGGCTTAGGTACTAAAATGTTTTTTTTTTAACGGTTTGTCATTTTTTTTGTTGTAATTTAATTTCATATGTCATTTCATTTCAATTTTGTTTTTGTTTCATTTTTGTTTTCGTTCATTTGACAATTTTTTTTCAAATACCTTTTCATTTCTATTGAAATTACCTGAAATTTGAAATTTTCTTTAATATGTCATTTTGTTTCATGTGTGATTTTATTTGTGCTGTATGTGGGAAAGTCACGTGTTATGTATGTGACATGTCACATATTTCGTGCTATATAATTTGAGTGAACAAGGAAGTTTTTTGGATTTCATTAATTGGAATTTTAATTAATAATTAATTCATTTAGAATTTTTTTACACACTACTGATATATGCATAATGCTGTACTATGAAAGAAGAGATATAATAAAAGCAAAATTGCCCCTCATTCATGAGGAAATTTTTGAGAAGATGATGGAGATCAACCAGATATATCCTTAATCTAAAACGAGATAGTCCTGCTGACATCACTCCTACTTGGGCACCCGATGGAAAATGTAAAAGAGGAAGACTGAGATTTACTTGGTAGGGATACATGCTACAAGATCTGTGCAAAGCAAAACTAAATGAATGGGAGGGGGAAAAAGGACTGACTCAAGTTAGGGTGCATGGAAAAAAAGAGACTCGAGACCTTATGAGCCAGCTGGCTCGAAGAAGTAAAATATTTTAGAAGAATAATTTTTCAATGAATTATTTTAACAGAAAAATGTATTATTTTGTTCTGCCATTAACTGAAATTCAATTTTACACCATAAGTTGCCATAAGCGCCATATTCAGTTCCTTTCAAACATTTTAAATCGATTATAAAATTTTACTACTTTAACAATTTTTGAAAAATATGTAGGCATGAAAAATAAGTCACAACAAACAAAATGCCTTGAAAGAGCAGCTCTTTAATTAATATATTCTAACTATATCGTCAACAAGTAACGTCCCTAAACGCTAATATAAGGAAAACTGTGAGCGTTTTTATAAGCACAGTTTAAACAGAGAACTTTGTTTTTGAATCTCATGGGTGCTACTTGCGAAAATAATTCAAATACTGTTGATGTTTTCTGATGCTTGTCTTATTAGACTGTCTCTAAGCTTTAACAGCAACTATAATTCTTTGTTCTGTCATTCTGTATATTGAAAAAATATATGTGTCGTTATACTTAAAATGCTGTTGTTATATGAATAAAACTGTTTTATAACATGAAATTTTGCTATGCTCAAATTGAATTAATCTAGTAACTTAAATGAAAATTTATTTTTTTCCCCAATTAGAACTTTTGGTTAATTTTGTACAGTGCTTATGAACTTGGAGGGTAGGTACAGAGCATTAGAATGGTATAGAAATGCAAGGAGGGAAAAGCCTTTCTAAGCCTCCTCTTTTTCTAAATTTTTTTTCTAAACTCTTTTTCTAAGCTCTTTTTCTAAACTCTTTTTCTAAACTCTTTTTTTCTATACTCTTTTTCTAAACTTTTTTTTCTAAACTTCCAGTTCGTGCGCCTTTTAACTGGTACTTTTATTTCTCTAAATAATTTTATTTTTTGATAATGGTATGTTTTTTTATAATTATTATTGAAAACTGTTTTCAAATAGACTCGGTAAAAGCTATTTCATCGTAATTTAATGATTTGGCAAATAACTTGATTAACTCGCTTAGTTGATCACCTAAATCATTAAAATGCTATAAAGCAGCTATTTATGAACCTATTGGAATGCAGATTATTCAATAACAGTTATCAAAAACAGCAAACTAGAATAATTCAGTTAAATAAAAGTACCAGTTCAAACGCGTATGAACAGGGAGTTCAAAACGGAGAAGAGTCCCCTAACGGCGTATGATGGCATTTCCTGACCTGGTATTCTTTTCCAGGATTTCTTCCTGGTTTCGTAGTCGGATCAATGCTTAGAATCCTGTCGTCAGTTTAACCATAGGATATTTTCGTGGTTTTCCTCTTCATGTAACGCTGATGTGGTTAGTTCCATCTATAAGTCCTCCACAAGGGCAAGTTTGCCCCAATGGTTGATCCAGGTTGGGTTCAAAATTACAAGCCTACAGAGTTGATATTGGACATTGATACGAGTATTGCTATGATTATTGATAGTCGTAACTCAGAACTGGGTTAACTGTTCAATGCCGGTTATAAAATGAAACAAAATTGCTATGATAAACTCCACCCGGCTCCAAATGTGTTGCTGCTCTGCATCATGTAATAGAATTCTCTTATTTTTTAACCCCTTAACCATCTTATTATTTTTAAGAAAACGGTTAGTTAGGGCCTATTTTTTATTAAAGGAAAATATGTATCTACAATATACGTATTCATTTTCTGATTTATGAAATTTGTTTGAGCTTCAAATTAAAAACTTCATATGTCCATGCAACTCTGACTCCACCAATATTAAAAAATATGTTTTCATAGAACACAGACAACGTGTATTCACTAAGAGCGCAAGTAGCTGAGCTACGAGTATGAAATGCTTATCACAATTACATATATTTGGATAGTGTTGACACCTAGATTTAAATGAAAATTAAAAGTAGTCTGGTGCAGCATATTAGTGTGCAAAATAAGAAATAAAAATTATCCGGGCCCAGGAGATGGATATATTTAAAGCTTTTTGGTGCATTACTTTCGAACGCTGTAGATCCGAAATATAAAGGGTACGAGTAATAGAAGGCTTAAGCTCACCCCGTGATTTTGACGGGAGAGAGGATGAAAGGGTTAAAGTAGACTTTAAGCTTTAGAATTATTTTCTGATCTTCAGAAAGACAGGGGTTGATA